GTGTTGGGTTTCCTACGAATCCGCAAGAGCGCGCGGGATGAGATTTTGACATTTTTTGTTGAAAAACCATTGGTTTTTTGATGTTTTTATGTTAAAATCGCTCCGAACACTAAGCTTTTGGAAGGATTTCGTCTTGCGCGCGCGAATGTCCACTTTACCTTATTTTTTGCAAGGGATTCTTGAAATTTGATTATATTAGAACAAGAAATGTCATTTTATAGTGTTTTTTGCAAGGGAAAACGGATTACAACAAAACAACCGGATCTGGACCCCATCCACTTTTCTGAAGCTTTCGCGAAAAAATGATGAAAATGTAGCTGCGGCCTAGGCGCGGCGGGGGGCCGTGCACCAGGGGCCCAACAATAATTATTCTTTAGAATTAATAATGTTCAACAACAACAACAACAACAATTACTAGCACGTGGGGACACTCCGTTCTCACCAGTGCCAGGGTTTTCATAGGAGGCGGGCAATACCCCCACTTTGTGGGGGGGCCGGTTCAAGCTCTACCAAATTTCCAAACGACTCTTCGCCACCACCCACACCCAGCTTCCCGCCCTATGACGTTCGGACACTTCACTTCGTGGCATGCGGACGACCGTGGCTACTATTCAGGGCCCCGCGGCCGACGACGACGGCGTGCGCGCGCGAAGAAAAAACGAATGTGTCCCGCATGGTATTATTTGACAGGGATGATGGCCCTGGCAGGTGCGCAACCGTTGTCGCAGAAGTTCGAAAAAGTTGCTCGCAAAAGCCCGTTTGACAGAAATGTTTAAAAAGTGTTGGGTTTCCTACGAATCCGCAAGAGCGCGCGGGATGAGATTTTGACATTTTTTTGTTGAAAAACCATTGGTTTTTTGATGTTTTTATGTTAAAATCGCTCCGAACACTAAGCTTTTGGAAGGATTTCGTCTTGCGCGCGCGAATGTCCACTTTACCTTATTTTTTGCAAGGGATTCTTGAAATTTGATTATATTAGAACAAGAAATGTCATTTTATAGTGTTTTTTGCAAGGGAAAACGGATTACAACAAAACAACCGGATCTTGATGACATCGTATTACCTGAGGCTTCCTCACGAAAATGATGAAAATGTAGCTGCGGCCTAGGCGGCGCAGGGGGGCCGTGCACCAGGGGCCCCAACAATAATTATTCTTTAGAATTAATAATGTTCAACAACGCAAGGGACAGAATTCTCACCACGAGTTCCCTATTCAGCCACGCACCCAGGGACAATGAATGACTGTTCGGCCCCTTCACTCTGATATGGGGCCTCGAAGGGCAGCGAGGGGGCCACGAAGGGCAGCGATTGGGGCACGAAGAGCAGCGACGGGACCACGAAGGGCAGCGAGGGGGCCACGAAGGGCTGCAACGGGGCCGCGAAAGGCAGCGAGGGGGCCACGAAGGGCAGCTACGGGGCCACGAAGGGCAGCGAGGGGGTCACGAAGGGCTGCAACGGGGCCACAAAAAGCACCCACGGGGCCAGGAAGGGCCACGAAGGGCAGCGAGGGGGCAACGAAGGGCAGAAACGGGGCCTCGAAGGGCAGCGAGGGGGCAACGAAGGGCAGCAACGGGGCCACGGGCAGCGAGGGGGCCTCGAATGGAAGCGATAGGTCCTCGAAGGGCAGCGAGGGGGAAACGAAGGGCTGCAACGGGGCCACGAAGGGCAGCGACGGGGCCACGAAGGGCAGCAACGGGGCCCCGAGGGGCAGCGAGGGGGCAACGAAGGGCTGCAATGGGGCCACGAAAGGAACCAACTGGGCCACGGAGGGCTGCAATGGGGCCACGAAGCGAGATCTCGCGTCCTACGTAAGCTGCAAGGGAGTCCTAAGCGTGAGCGCGACTCCTGAGTGCCTGAGTGTCGGGAGCGCGGCGCTTGAGCAAATCGCGGGAAATTCCAACGCAAGAGCGCGATCCTTTAGTGAATTGCAAGCGAGTCTCCAGCGAGAGCGCGACTCCAGAGCGCCGAGAGAGCGACCCCTTAATAACGTGTAAGGAGGTCCCAAGCGAGAGCGCGATTCCTGAGTAAAATGCAAGGAATTATCAGGCGGGAGCGTGCGCCCTGGCTAAATTGTGAGAACATGTCACGCGGGAGCCGTTGTTGTTGTAATCTGGGGGCCAACAACCCAGTTAGAGCCCCGTGACTTTCCCTGGCAAAAAACAGGGTGTGAGCCCCGGAGGAAGCACTTCAATTGAAAAACACAATGGTCACCGGAGGGGGATCACCAATACTTCTTTTTCAATAATGAAAGTTCAACAACAACACCAACAACAGCAGCACCAACAACAACGATATCCACAACAGCAGCAACAACAACGACACCAACGACAAAACCAACAACAACACCACCAACACGACCACCACTAACAGCAGCACCAACCACAACACCAACAACAGCAACAACTACAGCAACAACAACAACAGCCACAACAGTGATGTTCAGACTGATCGCTCTCACACGATCGCGTGCCACTCACTACGTCTCCCCCAAGCCCTCGGTACCTCCTTTCTTTAAGTGAGCAGCTTCCTTCCCTGACACGTGTAATTGGCGCAGCCCCCTACAACAGGAAAAACATAAACAATGAAAAAGGGAGAGAGCGCGGAGGAAGGGAGTGGGGAAAGGGAGGAAGGAAGGGAGGGAGCAAGAGGGAGGGACGGGGGAGGTGGAGGACGAAGCAAGAGGGGATGACACAGAAGTCGCAGGCGAGAGCGCGGTCCATGAGTACAGTATGAGGATGTCCCGCGCGAGAGCGCGATTCAATAGCCCCGAGAGAGCGATTAGTTAATACTTCGTAGTGGGGTCTCAAGCGAGGGCGCAATTCCTGGATGAATTGGGAGGAAATCTCAAGCGGGAGCGCGACTCTCCAATATGGTCGGGCAGTATCAGGCGGAAGCCGTCGTTGTCATAGTTCGGAGGCCAGGAACACAATTCGGAGACCCAGGGCTTCCCCTTTAAACAAAAGTGCGTGCACTGGAATGGGCGTTTCAATGAAAAAGCGTAAGGTGCACCGGAGGGTGGATCGGCCATACTTCTTCTTCAGGAATGAGAGGTCAGCAGCAACAATCATTCCCTACCTAGGCTCTGCCTAGAATGGTTCTTACCCTGTGTGCTTAAAGGGCCGGGCAATGGAAACCGCCCCGGGCGGTTCTCCCGGCAACCGCCCCGCGGTTCCCCCAGTCCCCTGGGAGTTTTAGCTTTAGCTTTAGCTTTAACTTTAGCTTTAGCTTTAGCTTAGCTTTAGCTTAGCTTCAGCTTAGCTGTAGCTTAGCTTTAGCTTAGCTCTAGCTTAGCTTTAGCTTAGCTTTAGCTTAGCAATAGCTTAAATTTAGCTTAGCTTTAACTTAGCTTTACCGTAGCTTTAGCTTAGCTTTACCTTAGCTTTAGCTTAGCTGTAGCTTAGATTTAGCTTAGCTGTAGCTTAGCGTTAGCTTAGCGTTATCTTAGCGTTAGCTTAGCTGTAGCTTAGCTGTATCTTAGCTTTAGCGTAGCTTTACTGTTACTACTAATGCTGCTTTCCTAGGGGCTCCAACTTCTAGTCAGGGTCGCACTGGGATAATTTTAGAGTGTTCGCTCAAATCTGATCTCCAGTCAATCCACATGTCTCTCTCAAAACCTCGATGCCCGCCCTCGTCGTCTTCGATCCTATCCCCCTTGCGGACATATGTTCCTTACTTGGGACGTGTAGTTTGAGAAACCCACACAGAGCACGAAGAGGACGGCGACAACGAAAAACACATCGCGAGGAGGAAAGAGGACCGGGAAGGGCATAACCCGACGGGCGCATCGGGCTGGCGGGACCCAAACGGGCGGGTCGGGCTGGCGGGCCCAGGCGGCCCTGTCGAGCGGGCGCGTCGCTGAAGTGTGAGTCCTGCACGAATCGCGCGACAGTTCATAGCGATACCGCGATTCCCGAGAAAAACTCGTGAGGAAGTCCCTCACGAGAGCGTGGCTCCTGAGTGTCGAGTGCGCGGCGTCTGAACAAATTGAGAAGAAGTCCCACGCGAGAGCGCCATTCCCTGGCACACTGGGCGGAAATCATTGTCAAATCGGGCGGGCTGGTGGGTAGAGCGTGCGGGCCATAACGGGCGGGTCGGGCGGGCGGGGCAGTGCAACAACTTTCGAATATTGCGACAAAGCCTCAGGCGGGAGCACGAGTCCTGAGCAAAGTGCGAGAAGGCCTCGCGCGAGAGCACCATTCCTGGACCTCGAGTGCGCAGCGCCGTCGCAAATTGCAGAGAATTCTCGTGGGCGCGAGCGCGACTCGTGAGCAATTTGGAAGGACATCTGAAGCAAAGGGCGCAGTCTTCAATACGTTGCGAGGACGTGTCGGGCGGGAGCCGTCTGGGGGGCCAGGGACCCAGTCTGAGGCCCAAGACTTCCCCTGATAAAACCACTGTGCGAACCTGCGGGGGGGGCCCTCAACTGAAACAATACACGGGGCACTCGAGGGGGGGGGTCAGCAATACGGTCAGGAATTTTGTGGACTTTGGGGTTAGCGTGGTGCCCCGGCGGCCCTGGCGACACGCCCTGCCTTGCGAGTGGATAGCGTGCTGCTGCGCTCCGAGGGGTTCGGGAGTCTCGGGAAAGCTCGAGCCTTTGACGCATGGGGCATAGGGACCGCGAGGTGGACAGCGTGTCGCGCCCAAGCGTGGTGGGCCAAAACTGGCGGAGTGACACGGTGTCCAACAATTCTCTACCGTAGCGACCTTACGCCGCGGCATACACGGGCCACCAGAGCGGCACGCCACATTGTAAACGAGGGCGCTCAAGTGCGACCTTGCGTGGGCAGCTTACGCGCCAATGTGCCAATGTCCGCGCAGTCGAGCCCGCTTTCTGCGTTGCTAAGACGTTGCTCAGATGGCCTCCAGAGCACCTCTTACGAGTCCTAGACGGCCCCAGGAGCTCCAAGATGGCACGAAGGGAGAGCTCAACAACAACTACTGCAACCGCCAGCGACACGCCTGGCGTGCGGCCGGGCGCAGGCCTGCGAGCGCCGGGCTCAGGGGCTGCCAGGTTTCGTGCCCGACCCGCCTGGCCTCAGGGCACCCTCGACCAGAGACACGAAGGCACTCTGGCTCTGCGGAGAGCTGGGGCTCCCCTGCGAGCGCTGGCTGGCCACACCAGGGCTGTCGCTGAAGCCCTGGGCGCCAGCCGCTGCCGGGCTGTCCAAGGCGAGATCGTGCTGCCCACGCCGACCAGCGTCTGCGTCAGCACCAGGTTCCTCTCCGCAAGGCTCCAAGGCGGCGGTCGGTGTCTGCCGCGTCGTGGGATCCATCACTGCGCCTCCTCTCGGCTTGCTTGGCCTCAAGGCGCCCTCGACCAGGGACATGAAGACTCTCTGCCTCTGCGGAGAGCTGGGGCTCCCCTGCGAGCGCTGGCTGGCCACGCCAGGGCTGTCGCTGAAGCTCTGGGCACCAACCGCCGCCGGGCTATCTCTCGCGAGGTCATTCTCCCCGCGCTGACCAGCTTCTGCACCAGCGCCACGTTCGTCGCCGCAAGTCTGCGAAGAGGCGGCTGGCGCCTGAAGCGTCGTGGGCTCCACCACTGCGTCTCCGCTGAGCTCGCTTGGCCTCAGGGCGCCCTCGACTAGGGACACGAAGACTCTCTGCCTCTGCGGAGACACAGGGCTTCCTGGCGAGCGTTGACTGGCCACGCCAGGGCTGTCGCTGACGCTCTCGGCGATAGTTGTTGGAGGGTTTTCGTTTTTGGCGGCGGAAGATGCGGCTAAGCCAGCCGCCGGAGGGCTCCCGTTGTTGGCGACGGGAGAAGCGGTTAAGGTAGCGACGAGCGCAGTCTTCTGCGAGGCGGCTGGCAGAGGCGCGAAGCAGTTCTGTCCGCGACTGCTGGCTTCTGCGACGGCGCCCGGTTCGTCGCCGCGAGGCTCCGAAGCGGCGGTCGGAGCCTGCAGCGCCGTGGGATCCACCTCTGTGACGCATCCAAGCTCGCTAGGTCTCACAGCCCTCTCTGTCAGGGACACCAATACTTTCTGCCTCTGTTCGGGGCCCAGGCTTTCCTGAGGGCGCTGGCTGACCAAACTGTGACCGACTCTGCAACTCCGTGCGCCGTCGGCAGCGGCAACGGCGCTGCTGGCACCAGGGCTGGCGGCAAAGGCACAGGTGGGCACGCACGTCGGGCTCATCGAGGTCGCCTGATCCCAGGGGAAATTCTGCGCGGCGGCTTGTTCCGAGGCAGTCGTGTGCGCCTGTGGCACTGTGGGCCCCACCTCTGCGCCAGTACTAGGCTCGCTACCGCGAGGGTCTGATGCGGCGGCGGGCACCAACGGCGCGGAGGGATCCCACTGCGGGGGCGCTGTGCCTACGGCTTTGCCCTTGCTCAACGCACGCGCGATGGCGCCCCGGGTGACCTCGTGAGCGAGTAGCCTTTCCGGGTGGGGCTGGGGAGCCTCGGCCTGGACCTGCCTGCGTTCAGGCACTCTGCGCTGCAGGGCCTCTGGGGCGGTGCCGGCCTCGCGAGAAGCGCACGCCAAGGCCCCGTGCCCGCCAGCGAGCCCTGCGAGTCGCTGCGGGGACCAGACTTCCCCGCCGCCCCCAGAGCGCAGCACGTCCAGCAGCTGCCCCGACCGGTCCGCCAGCTCCGAGAGCCGCTCCTCCGCAGCGTGCAGCTCCTGCCAGTGCCGCTGGGCAGCGAGGCGCTCCACGGGGCCCTGGAGCCTCTGGGTGGCGGCCGCCGGCGGGCTCCCGCTGGCGGCTGCGGGGGCGCTGGGCGCGGGCCCGACCTGCTGCGCTGCGGCGTTCGGAGGCTGGGGCTTGCCCTGGCTGCTCACGCCAGGGAAGACACATAGGAAAGAGCCAAAACAATCGCCAACAAATTATGAAAAACAGAACACGACAAATCGGCACCTGATGATTATGAACAAATCTGGAATATTCCTCCTGTAGAGGAACATGCCGGACGTAAGCCTTGTGGGAACGGTGCGCCAAGGCCTCGTCCTCGCCATCGGGCTCTCGGGGCCGCTCCGGGGGGCCGAGCTCCTCGCCATGCCGACGTGCCGGAGGCGAGCGCCTGCGGACCTCCCAGCGCAGCGCCTGCAGCGACTCCCACGAGCTCCGCGCGAGCTCCTCGAGCCGCTCCTCCCAGACCCCCTCGGGCAATGAAAAAATCATGGCGGGAGATTTTTCCGGATTTTCAGCCTCTGGAGGCCCTCACCGGCCCCCGGGGCCGTCAACAGGACGACTCAGGATCGAAAGCCGGTCCAGGCTTACGGGGTCGAGACCTCCGAGGGTCGAGTGCTGTGTGCAAAGATCATGTCGTCGGGGGGCTGGGCTCCTCGACGGCACGCAGCTCCCGCCAGCGCCGCTCCTGGCCGTCCAGGCGCGCCTCGGCGCACTGGAGCCTCTGGGCGGCCTCCCGGACCTCGGCGCCGACCTCGGCCCTCACCTCCGCGAGGGCGGCCCGGGTGCCCGCCGCGAGGTCCGCCAGGGCCTCCTGCATGCCCAGCGGCTCCCCGGC